GAGGGAGCAACGTGAGATCACTGCACAATTAGCTTTTTTCATGGAAAGAGCAATACACACTGCGTGATGGATAAGATAGAGCTTCTTCCACTTGTTGGCAATACAGCTCAGTTAGCCACTTCTAGCACTGAAGAATGCTTCTGCGAAGAATAAATTCTAGGCCACATATATACAGTGTACTTATGTAAACTACCATTACTGCCTGTGTCACCGTCGTGTGGTTTAGCAGCGTTTATCACTATGTACGGTAGTATGTACTAGGGATGACACCGGTTGTATGTACTAGGGATGAAGTTAGCTAAAGATATACATGTATCACTAAGTACGGTAATACTTATAGTATATAGGGATGACACAGGTTGTCCTCCATTATGCCCATACATTCGAGATTTTCTTGTTTCACTTTCAGTTTCAAAATTCTTCTTCTCGTTGTCGTTGTTGTTGTTGTTGTTTATCCCTTATATACTGCCACATTCCCTTCAAGTGTACAATAGTCAGAAAACCATACACACACCTTGAAGTAATGTGATACAGACATTATCTTGTCACTGTTGAGACCACGGGTATATTATTGCTGCTAATTGCAGAGGTTCGACCCAGAGGATAAGAGGAGGAGCCCTTGACGAGAGGAGAGAGAGGGCCTATTCTCTGGACGAGGAATATGACGATGATTGACGACCTTGATAGAAAAGACGCTCCTACAAGCTTTGTGTAGATCATTATTATCGAGGTTTCAGGCAAAAGTTCGTGGTAGCTGATATATGTAGTTAGTGGTTCATGTGCCAGGTTTTTATTTAATTAACCCTTTTCCAACTGTCAGGACCACAGAGCCAGTCAGACGCAGCTGAATCCTTTCAAAAGAGACTTCGTAAGAGTATATTCGTGACGGAGCTGTATCTCCAACTGGATGGAGAGAGTCCATGAGTACGGACTGGAGTGCGGCAATCCAACACTCTCATTAGCAAGATAAAACTCATTATGTATTAGAAACACATGTTTCACGATAAAACATTCGCGCGTTTCCAAGGAGGAGAAGTCAGAACACAGTCCATGTTTGAGGGAGGAGACGTGAGCCAGAGCAGAGAAACTCTTCTCCTCAGCAGATACCCGCGGTGCTAGAGAGAAGAGAGAGAGTGAGGGAGGACGACCTGGGTGGGACCTGGGAGAGAGAGACAGGAGAGGAGGAGAAGATGGAGAGAGAGAGGAGAGAGAGGGAGAGGGACGGGGAGGAGAGACAGGCAGAGAGATGAATTTGAGAGAGAGAGAGAGGAGAGAGAGGGAGGGAGGGAGAGACAGGAGAGAGAGAAGAGACTGAGAGAGAGCGAGCGAGAGAGGGTGAGGAGGATAGAGACAGGACCGAGAGAGACAGAGATGAGAGAGAGGAGAGAGAGAAAAGGGAGTGCGGAAGAAGGAGAGACAAATAAACTATGTTTGCAGACACGTGCGTGGCCCGAGTACCGAGAGTACCAAAAACATCCCGTGCAATGCTATCACATAGCAACAGAGTCTACAGGGTTCGAGTGATAATGTGAGGTCATCCCCATACGTCTGTCTCGTAGTCCGTGACTATCATACTCCGCTTCCAACAATCACATATTCACACCCTCACCAGTCACCGCACTCAAATACTTTTACCTGGTCCTACAATGACTGTGGATAGCGCAGTCCTTCCCCTGAGAGGGCTGGGCTTGTCGACAATCAGATTCATCACGACGATTACACCCATCGTCTCCGCAGTTGGCAATCCGCTCGCACGACGGCGTATCAGCTGGAGTGGTTTGCAGTGGCGGTGTTGTTGGCTTGATGGTGGCCTGTAGTGAAAACCTAACACAAAACATACCTGGGAGGATCTCCTACATGTATTGTAGGGAGCTACTCTTACTGACAGTATACATAGGCTGCTATATATGGAAGTAGCTCAACTGAAGAGTCGGTTAACTGAAGAGTGAAAGGTATTACCTTTCAACGGCAAACCCCCACCAAGGATAGTAATGAGGAGTAAATGAAACTGAGGGGCCGAATCTCTCCTAATGAAACTGAGGGGCCGAATCTCTCCTACAGTCATCGTATTGTTGTTGTTTGTCTTGTGTTAGTGAGTCTCTCTCTCCTGATCCTCCTTTCTTCAGGTGAGGAGGAGAGCGAAGAAGAGGAGTTTGGGAATGTTCATATCATTGAGCTCCACAAGGCAGAGGAACCACTCGGCATTCATCTCACCCACTTCACTGGCCCCGACGGAACGTAAGGAGAGAGATAGCGACAAACAGAATCCCACCCAGGACAGCGTTGGAGTTGCCCTGGGTGTAGTTGACATGTTCCTTTTCCCTATGGTCTCACTGACGCTTGCATGCATATTATTCGGTTTGAATCACTTAAAAGTTCAATCTTATAGCTATGAAGAGGCTGCAGTTTTTGTCAAAAAATTGTTGTTAAAATTGCTGCGTTTTTGTCAAATTTGTAGCCTGGAGTTTTACAGAGAAGGTTTAAATGTAGTTGTTGATTTAATTTGCAGGGATCTTGGGGTGTTCATTGGAGCCATGGATGAGAATGGGTTTGCTATGAAGAGTGAGAAATTGAAGATAAACGACAGGATACTCGCCTGCAATGGGGTTGACTTCACCAAGGACCCTTACAGACAGTGAGAGAGGGAGAGAGTAATGTAAACTAACTTTCGCGAATGAAATATGCAAGTTTTAGCCAAAAAACTTGCAAATGTTTCAGCCAACGTACTATATGGCCTGCTGAAAATAACTCTGTGTGCGTGAAATAACAGTACTGCATGTATTGGAGTTAGAGAATGTCAATTTTCCGAACGTATTTCTTTGACATTCGTTGCTTAAATTTACAATTCTGCTTTTAGCGTTGAGTAACTGCTGAACAAAAGTACATTGTCAGTGCAAACTTCCTCTAGAAGACTATAGCCAGTACTCAATATCGTTAGCCCCGTGTCTCCCTCTCGCTCCTCATTTCGTGATGTAGGCAGGTGAGGAGATATTCCTGGAGATGGTGGCAAAGGAGCCTCTATTGCGAATAGCCATCAGTCGCGGACTGACTCTCTCACTGGAGGACCTGGGTCAGGGGGGGAGGGAGGAGGAGGAGGAGGGGGAGGGTGGGGGGAGGGGTGACACCGCTAAGCAGACAGGGGAAGCATCAGCATCCTCGTCCAGGGGGGAGGGAGGGAGGAGGAGAGAGGGAGAACGCGAGAGTAAGCCGGATGCCTCCACTGGTGAGCCATCTTGCAGAACATTAATGTACTTTACTCCGAGATGACGAATCAATTTGTGATCTTGTGAATTTGGCACATTATTGTACTCAATCTTTATTTGAGCTGCTATATACTTAGTTTGCGCATGTTCCTCCTTGTTTTAACTACCCCATCTCTTCATCTCTCCGTCTTGCAGTTGCTCCATCTAACACAGTCACCAACACCAGGCAGATCGGGGTTAAACACACCATACAGATCACCAAGGGAACTCGCGGATACGGCTTCGGGATTGCGTCACGTGACGTAACCACCGACGACAAGAACACTCCGGTGTACGTCAAGAACATTGTCCACGAAGGCCCCGCCTTCCAGAGCGGTCGTCTCAGACTGGGAGACAGAATTCTCGAGGTATGTAATCAATATTTTTTAACCCCCTACCTCCGGGAAGCTAATTAACCCCTTACCTCCTGTGCACTAGTTAACCCCTTTTGAAGCGAAATTGAGAAGGGGGCTAGAGTAGTTACTGAACTCTACCATGTCTGTATAGGTGAACGGGCGAGGAGTGGAGGGGTTAAATCACCAGGAGGTGGTTCAGCTACTGAGAGAGAGTGAGGGGAGTGTCACTGTACTCATATCTCGACAGGAGGTCGTCGAGAAACATGATGAGAACGAGGTGAGATTTAACTCCTTTCACACTGGGAGTTAACTCTATTAGTTTGTGCACTAGCTTCATTTCCGCTCTTTGTGAGAACTGCTTAAGTACATATACACTCACACTATCTTGCTAGAGAGTTAGTAGCTCAATTCACACTATCTTGCTAGAGAATTAGTAGCTCAATTCACACTATCTTGCTAGAGAATTAGTAGCTCAATTCACACTATCTTGCTAGAGAATTAGTAGCTCAATTCACACTATCTTGCTAGAGAATTAGTAGCTCAATTCATACTCATTTTAAGTTCCAAAGTAGCAAGTTACAGCTTTGCTGATGTGCTCATTTTCTTCATAAAAAAATTCTCTTTCCTTCAAGCATTACATGACCACTGAATTTTTAACACACCTTTCCCCCAGTTTCCCTCCACCCCATCCTCCTCCTCCTCGGCAACAGCCACGCCCCCCAAAGAGGCGACGACAGTAGGGAAGACAGTCCTAAACCTGGAGATTCCGCTGTACGACTCCGGGCCGGCTGGACTGGGTGTGACCGTGTTCGGGCGGTCCACGCTGGGCCCCGCCCACCGGAGGGGAGACATGGGCATCTTCATCAAGAGTGTGGTACCAGGCGGAGCTGCTGCCATGGTGAGAACATTTTGTGCCATCTCCAAAGTCGGTTCACATAGATTTAGAGTTGAACCACATTTGGCTTGCCTGAGGTTCTGCATAATGGCAAGTATGTAGCTGACGAATAGTAAAATGCTTGGGCCAGGAGGAAGAGAGAAACTTTATGCATTCATGTACATGCACATGTGTAATTGAGTCATGCTAATTTCACATGACATCATTCCCCCGATAAATGATGTAATCCCGCAGGACGGACGACTGATTCGCGGAGACCAGCTCCTGGCTATCAACTCTCAGTCTCTGCTGGGGAGGTCAAACGCTGAGGCCCTCGACACGTTGCGCAAGACCCTCGCCACGGCAACCGACAGTGGCTCAAAGATAAAGGTGGTGGTGGCGAGGAAGACGGGCTCTAATAGGAAACAGCCCGGCATGGCAGCTCTTGAAGAAAGCCCCATTGAGGTGACGTTCTATCTGCCTTATGATGAATAAAACAGCATCAAATATGTGTTTTGTGCTCAATGGATGATTTGGACGAATATTCATTTGACCAATCGGTTAATGGGATGTCCCAAATGGCGATATGTCTTTCCTGTACAGGATGAGGTAGAGAGAGGAACAGAACCAGCTACTAACGAGGTCGGCATTGACATTGGTGTGGAGGCCAGTCAAACCAGTCATACCAGTCATACTGGTAAAACCAGTCATACTGGTCAGACGATTGGAGAGAGTGCTGAGTCAGCAGGAGGAAGGAGAAGGGGCGGGGCAAGTCAGACTAGTGTGGGAACTGCCGCTGCCGAGAACGAGGCTTCGCAGAGCAGTGTGGACCTGGAGGTAAGGGGTTAACTAGTGCACAGGAGGTAAGGGGTTAATTAGCTTCCCGGAGGTAGGGGGTTAAAAATTTTTATCTGGACAAGGCTGGTTTTGAATACAAACAGTACACTCTGTTCCCTCCCCACACAGCCGAGACGAGGAATACTCCGAAACTCCACCGAATCCCCAGGCCACTCCCCCAAGTCATCGTCCTCGGCAACAGGCCACACCTCCTACAAATCCCACACCCTCCCCAACTACTCACCGACGTCGGCGAAACGTCTGAGCCCGTCGCTCACCCGACGGACGCAGAAACCACCATCATCTTCTTCCTCTCAACCCTCGAGCCCCGGACTCCACAAAACCTATCTCCCTGTGAAGAAAGAGAGTCCAGGCTCCTCTCGAAGACTGATGTCGGCCTCTGGCGGTCTCTTGGGCAGCGGAGAGTTTGACAGACTCGAGCCGAAACAGGAACTTGAGCTGGCACCAACCCACAGTTCACAGGGCTACGGTGGTGGGAGTGGCTCGCAGGGCTACGGTGGGAGTGGCTCGCAGGGCTACAGCGGGTCCCAGGGTTACGGCTCACAAGGTTACGGAGGAAGCGGTTCCCAAGGTTACGGAGGAAACGGTTCCCAAGGTTACGGAGGAAGTGGAATACAGGGTTACGGAGGAAGTGGTTCGCAAGGGTACGGAGGTCATCATTCGGGGCCCTGGGGAGGAATGGACGGGGAGATGGGAGGAATGATAAGAACCTCCAGTCTCAACAGCGACCTCTCTTCCCTCATCAGTCTGCAATACCCCCGTTACCCCGGTTACCCCGGAGTATACCCCGGAAATCACCCCCACCTCTCTCCCGGTTTTCCCCCACACCTTCACCACTCCAACCCCACTGGTGCCGTGGATCCCATGGTAACAGGCCATGCCCCCCATTTACTCCACCCAAGACTCCAAAACGGAGGTAACTACGAACGCCATTTCTCCCCCGGGGACCTCGGGTACGGTATCCGTGGTAACGAGATGGGGAATCCCCACGGCTACGAAGGTCTGCGACGGCAACATGATCAGAGTCAGTCAAGCGAACTGTTGTCTCACTCTCTTCCTCACGGCGGCTACGAGGCCACTGGTCCCAGTGTCTCCTTCTCCGCCGTCACTCTCAGCAGGGAGCAAGCTCCTACAAGGTATATATACACACGTGTTCTCATTTCATGTGTCAACTGCAGTAATTGTATGTGAGGTCATCCGAATTGTGCACATTGATGGGCCATGGTATACGTAATGGGAACAATAGCCTCAGGTACTCTTAACGGCAATTTACATAGGGGCTTGCCTTTTCAAAAGCACGTTGCCTTTCCAACCGTTGAACAGTGGATTTTGTACTAATATAAGTTTGGAACCTATGTAGCCCACTCTAATATAATTTTGCAGTGAATGCTAGAAGCAGATGGTAGCATAGTGTTTTTCCATCCTTCTCTCACTCAAGGGGTTCCGGGAGGAAGGACCGTCAGAGGTCAGAGTCCAGCAGAGGAGGCGTGTCAACAGCTGATGGTGGAAGTGGCTCTGAACTGTCTGACATCTACACTCATAATTCCAGGTGAGTCTCCCCTGGCAACCATTGTGTTGGGAAACTCTTAAACTGTATATTAGACTACTAGAAAAATCCTTATACCTATAGTTGAAAAGGTTTCGTAATTTCACTGTTTGTAAGCCGTCTTACATATGTATAGACAAACAAGAATATTCAGAATATTGGCACAATAGCTAGCTGGCTGTCCGAGCACCATAATTGGAACTAATACATCCCACACATCCCACACGAATGTAACCATACCGAGGAATTATTCACAAGAATCTCTGGTATGCAGGTCAACCTCTCACACGAGGTCGGCGACCCCGCCCCCTCCCCGGGGGGGAGAAGATGAGGAGGACGAGGAACGTCGGTCGCTAGGTGACCTCAGACTCTCGGACTCAGAACCATCCTCGTTTCGCCGTGACGACAAGGGGCGCATATCAATCACAAAGAAAAGTGAGTGTCATGGCGCAGAGCGTGAAATTCCTTATGACTGCAATATATATATTTCACACGGATTTGTTGCTAAGCAATTAGGTGAATTAGTTGGTGTTTCAGCAAAATTCACATCCCACATAATGTTGTTATAGAAGAGAGCTCCCATGAATCATATGAGCTCCACTACATATAATTTTAAAATTTTAACTCTTTCCCAACTTGCAGCCAAGAAGAACCCTCGCCAGGACTTTGCCCATTTAACCCTTTCCAACCCGGTGCCTCTCCTGGAGGGCGAGGCGGGGCTGTACCGAACAGGCTCAGACGGATGTCTCCCTGAGACTGTGGAGAGAGAACAGGTAACCTGGTCACATGATGATCACATGATAGGCGTGTGATCTCTTATTCTGGATCACATGACAGTCATATGACCAGTAGAGTAAAACATCATAACAAGATCCTTACCTCGTTAGTGCATATAGCTCATTCGAATGGACCAATCAGATTGATTGAACTTTACCTCAAGTTGTGTTCCATTCCCTCCGTCTCTATCTCCAATCAGCCTGAGCTGCTGGCAGGAGTGGAGCTGGGACCTAATCTTGGAATGGTGAAGAGCAGTTCTCTGGAGAGCCTCCACAACATGGTCTCCCACTCCATCATCAAGAGAGAGGGGGTGGGGCTGAGGGGCGTGGCCAGAGCTCCACCCATTGCTTCGTCTCTCAGGCGACCTATTGACCCTCGGAGTGGAGTTGTTCCCAGTGAGTATGTGATTTGGATGTGTGTCTGAAGTCTGGAACCACATCATCAAATGAAACTCCTGAACATGAGTACATTTACATTCAGTATTGATTGTTTCTGTGAGCACTGCTTTACCCCTGGACAGATCACTATCTCTCTCTGTTGTATGCATCTCTAGTTCCAACGTTCCCTGGAAGCCTGAGTGCCAATGCAGCTGTCATCAGTTTCACCAAAAATCCAACCAGCAAGAAATCGCAGAAGAAAAGCATCTTCAAGAAAGTCTTCAAGTCAGTCCGCTATTTAAAGCCCTCAATACTATGTTTATTTGTTGTCGTTGTTGTATTGTTGTGCATGGTACCTTGTTTTCACCCCTAATCAGAGGCATATGTAAGATAACGTGTACAGTAAAACTAGTTATTCAGGTGTGTCCTTTATTCAGAGGTATATTACTATTCGGCAGAACGAATGTCTCGTTTTATAGTATAAAATGGTGTCCTTTATTCAGAGGTCTTTTCAGAGGTTTCACTGCATCAGAAACGAACGAACAAACGAAAGGAATTAATTTTCTCTCCCTCATTCCTCCTCTCTCCCTCTCCTCCCTCCCTCAGGCAGAAGCGAGCCTCGCAGGGCCGCCGCGAGCCCGCAGGACGCCGAGAGCACGCAGGCGCTAGAGCCCGCAGGCCGCCCGTCGCGCCAGCAGGCCGACGCTAGCCGCAGCCGCCGCGCGCACGCAGGCCGCGCGCGCCCGCGCCGCCCGCCCGAAGGCACCGCGCGCCCTCAGGGCCCGCGCGCCCGCAGGCCGCCGCGCGCCCGCACAGCAGCGCGCCCGCAGGCAGCGCGCGAGCCAGCAGAAGCAGCGCGCCCGCAGGCCGCCGCGCGCCGCAGGACGCCGCGCGCCGCAGGCCGCCGCGCGCCGCAGGCCCCGCGCGACCGCAAGGCCGCCCGGCGCCGAAGGCCGCCGCGCGCCCGAAGGCGCCGCGGCCGGCAAAGGACGCCGCCGCAGCAGGCCGCCGCGCGCCCGCAGGCCGCGCGCGCCCGAGCGCCGCGCGCCTCGCAGGCCGCGCGTCGCCGCGCGCCGCCCGCAGGCGCCTCGCGCCCGCAGGCAGCGCGCGGCCCGCAGGCGCCGAGCGCCCGAACGGCAGCAGGCGAGAAAGAAGAAGAAGAGAGAAGAAGGAAGACGAGAGAAAGAAGGAAGCAAGAGAGAAAGAAGGAAGACAAAAGAAAGCAAGGAAGAAGAAAAGAAAGAAAGAAGAAGAGAGAAGAAGGAAGAAGAGAGCAAAAGAGAAACGAAAGAAGGAAGAAGGGAAAGAGAAGAAAGAACAGAAGGAAGAAGATAGAAGAAGGACAGAAGAGAGAAAGAGATAACAAAGAAAGCAGGAAGACGAGAGAAAGCAGGAAGAAGCAGAGAGAACGAAGGCGACGCGAGCAAGCAGGCCGAAGAGCGAGAAAGAGATAGAACGAACGAAGGAAGAAGCGAGAACGAGACGAAAGCAAGAAGAAGAAGCAGAAGAAGTAAGACGAGAGCACGACGGAAGAAGAGAGACAGAAGAAGAAGCGAGCAGAGGACGAAGAGCGAACCGAAGAGACCGCGAGAACGCAGGCCGCAGAGAGAAAGAAGGAAGAAGGAGCAAAGAAGGACAGAGAGCGACGAAGAAGAGAGAGAGAGCGACCGCAAGAAGGAAGAAGAGAGACAGAGCATGAAGAAGGCGCCGAAGCGAAGACGAGCGCAAAGAAGGAAGAAGAGAGAAGAAGGACCGCCGCGAGAAAGAAGGACAGACAGAGAGCCAGAAGGCAGAAGCGCGCACGGAAGGACGCCGACGAGAGAAAGGCAAGAGAAGACCGCAGCGAACGCAGGCCGCAGAGCGAGACAGCAGGAAGCGAGCGAGACAAGAAGGAAGAAGAGAGCCAGAAGGCCGCCGAGAGAAGAAGGACGAAGGCGCGCACGAGGAAGACGAGCGCCAGAAGGACGAAGAGAGACAGAGGCAAGACGAGCGACAAGGCAGGAAGCACGAGAGCAAGCCGGAAGACTGAGCGAAAGCAGGACGCAGAGCGACCGCATGACGAAGACGAGCAAGAGGAAGAAGAGCGCAACAGAAGAGAAGACGGCGAGAAGATGAGAGATAGCCGAAGGAAGAGAGAGAAGACGCAGACAGGCAGAAGAAGAGCGAGACGAGACGAACGAACGAAGTGACGAAGAGCGACGAAGGAAGTCAGCGAGACAGATCCGCATAACGAAGGAAGCGAGAGAAGAAGCAGACACGAGAGCAGCGCAGAACGCGCGCCAAGAAGGCAGACGCGCATGACCGAAGGAGCAGCAATGCCATCAGGCAGAAGCGAGATCAGAGCATGAAGCCGCATGATCCACGTCGAGTAGCATTACTAGACCGGCAAGAACCGAAGGACGCAGCGACGAAGACGCAGATCCCTATTAATCCGCGATGCGCAGTCCTCCTCATCGCCCTAGCATTCCTCCTCTCTCCCTCTCCTCCTCCCTCATTCCTCCTCTCTCCCTCATTCCTCCTCTCTCCCTCATTCCTCCTCTCTCCCTCATTCCTCCTCTCTCCCTCACCCCCCTCTCTATCAACAGAAAAAGGAAGAGCGGTAGAACAAGTCCAGTGGTGGCAAAGAGAAACCGGGGGCAAGTCCGTCAGACTACGACACTAGATCGATGGACGGTGACCTGGAGGAGGAGGGGGAGAGAAGAGGGAGCGACAGAACTGTCCACACTCCAGACGGTTACGATAGCAACGACGAACTCCTAGCAACCATTGCCAAAGTCTGACCTTCGTATTATCATTTTATTCACAGACACTGGATCTTGTTATGTCTATGTCTCACGCAGTCATTATTTTTATCTCCTCTCTCTCTTTCTTCTCCCTCTCTCTGGTGTTATAATTATGCTGCCGCCCGAGGTGAGAAGAAATGTATTGTGAACCGATCTGTAATATATAACATACCAGTCTCAGATTTTTATTGCTCTGTAATGTTTTACAATTTTAATTCTCTATGTCTCTTCAAGCAAGCGTATTATATTATAGCAAGAACATTATGCACGTAAAAGAGAGGGAGCGCAATTGTTGCGCGCATGCGCATACGTATTTGGCGGGGGGAGAGGGGGCGGAGCTGAAAGGAGGAAGGAGAACACGTGAGGTGGTGGTTCGTGTTGTGATGGCGCTGCAGGAAAATAAGAAAGCCAAGGAGCGTTCTTCCTGCATTGTGGTAAGCTAGCCTGGAGAGGCGACCTCCAGCAAAGCTAATCGCCCCCGCCCCCCCCCCGTCTCTGCGTGTTGTAGATCCCTGATAGTTACCTTGGATACGATCTCTCCCATTTCTGTATCCCCGCCCACTATGCCGAGGACCTCAGCTACGTTCTGATACCACGAGGACTCATCCTGGACCGGTAGATTGCAGTTGCCATTTTCCCCTATAAGTGGAACCTCCGATAAGACACCCTCTCAAGATTGACCCCGAGATAGGCACGACCTCTCTACAAGGGACACTTGTTTCACCCCCATGCTAATACTTTAGTGCATTATTTGACCTCCGAGATAGGGACGACCTCTCTACAAGGGACACTTGTTTCACCCCCATGCTAATACTTTAGTGCATTATTTGACCTCCGAGATAGGGACGACCTCTCTACAAGGGACACTTGTTTCACCCCCATGCTAATACTTTAGTGTATTATTTGACCTCTGAGATAGGCACGACCTCTCTACAAGGGACACTTGTTTCACCCCCATGCTAATACTTTAGTGTATTATTTGACCTCTGAGATAGGGACGACCTCTCTACAAGGGACAAAGTTGTTGGCCCCATAGTTTTCCTTGTTCGGAGGTTCCACTGTATTATGATCTAATGTGGGTGCCCCTGACTTGATAGTGTGTTAATTACGTAATGTGCCCCTGACTGTGAGTGTCGCCACTCACTACTGCCTGCAGGACAGCTAGAATGGCTCAGGACATTTGCCGCGAGCTGACAGCTCCTCTGGTAGCTCTGTGTATTTTGAAGGGAGGCTACCAGTTCTTTACAGACCTACTGGACTTTATAAAGACATACAACTCCAACACCGACAGATCCTTCCAAATGCAGGTCGACTTCATAAGACTCAAGAGTTACGTGGTATGTGGGGAATTTGCAAGAGTTACGTGGTATGTGGGAATTTGCAAGAGTTACGTGGTATGTGAGGAATTTGCAATTACAAGTGTATACATTGAATTTTAACCCCTCTAATATAGACACCAATGGAGCATAAGAAAGTGTCATTAGTAGAAGGTTTCCTTGTTTCAGGAGTTGAATTGCATGTAAGAACTGTTCTTGGGGAAAGATCATTATTTTCCTTAGAGAGGGGTTCCACTTTAGAACATGTGATTAAACATTCTCTCTCTTCTGTCCTTTCTCACAGGACGACAAGTCAACTGGCAACATCCAAGTCATCGGAGGAGACAATCTGGAATCCCTAACTGGAAAGGTAATTACTAATTTTCATTTTCACTTTTTACTTCCTCATGTTGTTTAGTACACAATGTTTTTCTGCAGAATGTTCTCATTGTTGAGGTGAGCGAGTCATGTGATCCACTCATGACTGTCACATGACCTGATTGCCCCGCCCCTTCCACCAGGATATAATTGATACAGGTAGCACTATGAGAAAGCTACTGACAATGCTGGACAAGTACAAGCCTGCCTGCGTTCGGGTTGCTAGGTAAGAAAAAGTGGGCGGAGCATAAGAACAAGTGGGCGGAGCATACTGTATATATATAGCAGGCTTTTGTTTGTAAGAAATTTTCATGTTTGCGTATATCCGACCTGGATGGACGTGTTCAGTTTTTCACGCAATGGAGCGTTGATTGTATATACAATCATGTGAAATAGAGAGAACGAACGTTTTCCCTGAAGAAAAAACATTTCGTGGATTTGGAGCATTTTTACAGCGGGAGAGAAGCAATTTGTCTGGGAAAAATTTTGTTATGCTACTTATACGATATTATTTATAGGATATATAGAGTACTCATGCGTATATAGTGTCTCGGTCTTAACGTGTGTGTTTCAGTCTGCTGGTTAAGAGGACCTCGAAGAGCACTGGCTACAAACCCGACTGTGAGTCCCTCTCCCTCTCCCTCTCCACTAAAACACTGCTGTTCTCTCTTCTCACACACAGACTCGGGATTCGAGATACCTGACGAGTTTGTGGTCGGGTATGCTCTGGATTACAACGAGTATTTCAGAGATCTGAATGTGAGAGAGAGACTTTAATTTGCAACTAGTCGGTGGTCACTTTGGTCAAATCCTATTGCCGTTCTCTCTCTCTTTCCCTCCATTACGTCTCCCTCCTCTTTTTCTCTTCTCTTTCTCCTTTTCTCTATCTCTCTCTTTCCCTCCATCTTTACTTACATCTCTCCCCACTTTTTCTCTTCTCTTCCCTCTCTTTCCCTCCCATCACAGCACATTTGTGTCATCAACGAAAACGGAAAAGACAAGTATGGAGCGCGATCATAGTTTTATAACCGTGGAAACCTCACAACTTAGCAATAAATATAATGATGTTAACTGACGTCGAGATTCGTAATATGTACAAAACGGAGTGCTGCAAAATATGGAGAGAAAGTGTGGATCACGTAATGGCAGAGAGAGATCAGTGACAGTGAGTGGTTGCTAGGAGATGAGTGGTTGCTAGGAGATAGAAGATGAATTAGAAGTGGAAAATCAACTGTTTAGAATAATCATTAAATTTGGAGACTAAAAACCGTGTTGAAAAATGTTGTGGTGTCCCTAGTCCATTAGGTTGTTAGCGGCAACCAATGCTCCCAGAATCTTCTTGCTAGCGATGGCGTCTGCTCGAGAGTTCATGCAGACAGTGTAACTGTTCCCCTCCAGACCTTTACACGATCGCGGCTTGTAGTTCTTACGGAGGTACGGTTCCACTGCTCTCATTGCGTAGACATTCGTCTCCAGGACCTTATCAATGAATCTCACATCGTCGTTAGAATTCCCCCTCGTGGTTCCAAACCCACCAATCAGATTGTAGTCTGCCCGATACAGGGCCACTATCTGGTAGTTGTAGCGAATGAAGAAGCCAGTGTCAGACGTAATGGCGGATTTCGGAGGTCTTTGTGAATATTGTTCGATCAGCTCTGGTTTGTAGAAAGAGAACGCGACGGGGAAAAAAGCCTGCGCCCCTTTCTTAACGAGCATTCTACAGTGAGCGAGGAATTCTTTTGTAAAGTGGAAGTTTAGATCGAAGAGAAGCAACAAGCTGTCGTCGCTTAGTTTTTCGGCAATGTGGTCGTAACCATGGGAATACGAGAACGGAGTATCCCCCATGGGGTAGAGGGAAATGGAGTGTTTGGGGTAAGCCTGTTGGAGTCGCACCACTGCCCCCTCGGTTTTGGGGTTGGTTCCAAATATGGCAACATGGAGATGTGTATGGGTCGCTGCCGAGCGCAGACACGTATTTTCATAGAAATGGAAGAATTCAGTTGTGTCGTGTGTCCTAGCAACGCATAGCAACACGTGTACAGTCTGCTCCAACACTGTAGCAGCCTCGCTGTATGTTGCCATGCCGGCACCTTGGAACGGCAGGAAAACGTTCGCTAGATATTCGATCGGTTCCGAATCTCCTTCACGATGGACAGACACGTGCAAATTGTATTGTACCCCAGAGGAATGGTCGGTGATTGTGTAGCCGTCAAACAGTTGGTAAGGTGGCACAAACGCTTGTGGTTTTCCATCAATTGAATTCATGACGTCCAGTAGGACCTCCAGTGCGGTATTGCTCCCGGCCATAAGGCCAGGCGGGAGAGAGATCGCTGGCATGTGCTCATAGTTAAGGAAGAGTCGTGTGGAGTTGAAGTACTCCCAGATGGATATCTCGTAGCGGGACGAGGGGTTGGTGCCGAGGTCGTACCACAGCCAGCGGTGGTCATGGTAACGACTCATGGTTGGCGGGAGGAGCGAGGAGATGCTCTGGATCTCTGCCTGGACACGAGAGGCCTTCTGGATGAGGTAATGGAGTCTGCACCACGGGAGAGAGACGGAGAGAATTTGGTAGCAATTTGTGCAAAATTTCACAACATGTTTACGGCTGCAGTTGGCAGGCGTGTGCATGGCACTCCAACAATAACTTAGTTCTACAGTAGCTAGAGTAAGTATATAACAGGGTGTCCTGATCAGTGAGTGTCCTGATCAGCGGGTGTCCTGATCAGTGAGTGTCCTGATCAGTAAGCTGTGTGCCTTAACCAGTGAACAGTAAGGGCCTCTAACTAGAGATGTGTCCTAAACTGGTGTCCTAAACTTGTGTCCTAAACTGGTGTCCTAAACTGGTGTCCTGACCTGAGCTCCTGCATGTACTGATGTACGCGGTACATGAGAAGAGGGTCTTTGATTGGGTGGAGGGAAATGGTTGCCTTGACTGCGTCACTGGTGTAGAGCTCGGGGGTGGGGAGTATCTTCTGGTAGTCTGTCCAGAATATCAGTTTAGTCTGGGGAGATGGAGGGAGGACAGTGAGAGAGAGAGAGGGGGGAGGACAGTGAGAGAGAGAAAGAGGAGGGGGGAAGATCACAACATGGCAGCCAACATACGCTGTGCAACTCTGCTAATCTGCAAGAAAAGCGAGCCAACCTAGTCACCTGAATTGTGTGACTGGTGAACTGATTCAGACTATATAGCTTGTCTGGTAGTAAAGATGGGACAGATGGAGTAGACATCTTATGCTCATTAATTTTACTAGTAGTTGCTGTAATGGTGAGACAGGGAGCAGAGTACTGCATCTCATCCCAGCTATTCCAGAGTGCCACCTCCACTATCTTTAGAAGTTCGTTAAATACATTCTTATAGTACTCGTAAATTCTTGTTATAATGTAGTACCCTCCCATGTGGCACCGCGCCCTCCTCACCTCCCAAGCCCATGTACACTGCAGTTGTAGCATCTTGCTCACACACCTCCCTATTTCCACGTCCTCGTTCCAGCTCACCACCACCGTCTGTGGAACCGGAGAATGACAGAATCAGAATCAGACTCTCGTACCCAGTCTTACGACTCTTCCAACTTCGTAAACTAATTATTAATCTTGTAATCTATCGATCTGTTTAAAGTACTTCTGTCGTCAAATGCTTTTCCACAAAGTTAAAAATCACTAACTTGTACACATATTTTGGCATCTCCACGCAAAATTTTGTGCCCTATTGTAAAAAAAATGTGTGACAATCTGTGGTTTTGTATCTCTACACAGCACATGACACTATAGTACTAGGGAGGGAGGGAGGGGGGGGGAGAGAACAGAGATGTGGTGTATGGTTCTTTAGGACTTGAATGATATCAAATGGATGCAAGTAAACATATCGTAACTTTAGAACAAAAGCTGCGCATTCTTTGACAAACAGCGAAATGTGTCTGTAAAGTCCCACGTTTCAAAAAGGACCCTCTGAATAAAGGACACTACCACATACCCAATACATTAGTGTATTGTATTATCTCAGAATAAAGGACCCTCTGACTAAAGGACACCTCTCTATAAGGACACTACCACATACCAATACATTAGTGTATCTCAGAATAAAGGACACCTCAGAATAAAGGACCCTCTAAATAAAGGACACCTCTCTATAAAGGACACTACCACATACCCAATACATTAGTGTATGTTTATCTCAGAATAAAGGACCCTCTGACTAAAGGACACCTCTCTATAAGGACACTACCACATACCAATACATTAGTGTATCTCAGAATAAAGGACACCTCAGAATAAAGGACCCTCTAAATAAAGGACACCTCTCTATAAAGGACACTTGGTTCTACCACATACCAATACATTAGTGTATTGTATTATCTCAGAATAAAGGACACCTCCCAAAATCCCCAACGAGGTGGTCCCTCGTTCAGAGGTGTCCTCGGCACACACATCGCACATACCTCAAGACAGGCATCGAGATGAGGTGCCAGCCTCCGCAGAGCACTGCGACTGAAGATTACTCCCGGGCCGCCCATACAGTAGTGCTCGTGTTTCTCCAACTTCAGTCTGTCCTTATCGCTCTCCTTGCCGAACCCAGGACACCCCATGTAGATGTCCTGTGCGGGGTTGATCCCCTCTACCAGTTTCATCAACTTCTCCATTCTGTAGTAGACGTCGTCGTCTGACCGAATGAAAAAGTCGTATTTATCGATGAAATTATCGGCCATGTATTTGAGAGTCCTGTAGACCTTCTTCTGCGGAGGATACTGCGTGTCGTTAATGTCAGGGAGGGTTATGACTGGGAGGTAGCTCAAACTGCCATCTTCTGGAGGTGCCGAGTAGAAGTTCATGTCAGGCATGATCTCTTTCCCCCATGTTTTGTAGATGGCAACCGCTCGCGTGGGAAGGTACTTTGCGCTGGATATGACTCCTATATAGAGGAGTTTCCGTGGCGACAGCTCGCTGGCGAGGTACTTGTAGCGAACGTTGGGGTCTGCCGACGGAGTAATGTTAGCATCCGGACTCAGTTTGCAAGGGTTGTGAGGGAATTTTGGGGGATGGATTACGTCGTTTGTCTCGCTGAGTAGCGGAGGGGCAGAGCCGTTGCTAGGGCGAGGAGGCGAGCTGAGGTCAGGGTGCACGATGCAGGGTGGGGCTAATTGGCGTGCGGACACCTCCAGTTCTTGAAACTGGAACAGAACCGAGACCGGGGAGAACACGAGGCCGACAAACACACCCATCATCAGAACCAGCACCGTTCTTAGTCTCACCATCGTTACTGTGTTGTGTGTGTAGCAGCGGGGTTCAGAAAGGGTTAATACTCAGTCGCGGGAGGGGTTCAGAAAGGGTTAATTGTCAGTTGAAGAGGGGTTAAACTTGCGAGGCCGAAAGCAGGTGGACAGAAGGCGAAAATGAAACATGAGACTTCTGTCGCAGGAAGTCTGCCACAACATAACATGGAAAGATAAACAGTCACAGTTAGCAGCTGCTCCCACAGATGGCACCCTACACCACTTAGCACAGAACATTAGTGATTCTTCTTAGATGCGGCGCAGTGCAACATATTGAGAACCCAGCTTTACTTATATAGTACCATTGAAAGGTGACCACTTCTGCCCCATAATAAGTAGAGAGGCCTCGTGGTCTCTCTACAGTGGTCAGAATCAACGGTGCAAGGCTTATTGGGTCCCAGATTGTGGTTTCATAGACAGATGGTGGTGTTCCTATGGACAGGTTCCACTGTACAGGTACATGATGCATGAGCTCATCTTTGCAGCTAAACGCCATACCCCACTCGAAATCAGTGATAATACTAGCATCTAAACGTAGCCGTCTCATTCAAAGGCTTTAGGCTGATCGCCACGCGCACTACGCGCAAACGCGCCGACGCGCCAACGCGCGGTTTACCCTAGCTCTCACTCCTTACTCGAGTATTCATACACGAGAGAGACACAACTCACTTTCAGGTGTGCAACTTGGCCAAAAGACAGCTCTCACATTACCCCCATGCGCAAGATGTTCGAGAGTTCAGTCCCTCAAAAAAACAGAAAGACGGAGGATGAAGAAGCGAGAGGCGCCCCGCCTCCCTTTTCATTAGGCCTCTCCGGAAACTCGGAGTGTACGGAAAATGTAACGGCGCCGTGTGCGCACGTTGTTTAGTCTACAGCTGCGCAGTCAGTTGGTAGAAAGTGGGAGGATCTATGCTCGGATATCGATGCCTTCACACAGGTGGCGTGGCCCAGTCGAAGGAGATAGATGGACAGACCAAAAGCTAGGTAGGTACAGTATTGCCTGCATTCGTTATGCTTCGATACTTTGCATTTTACATCTTCTGAAACCTCTGCATGCAGCGTTGAGAAGCTCAGCATATCAAGTGTCGTTGAAGACATACTGCGGAGCCGGTTGAGTTCAGGCCAGGTATATAGCTATAAACACCCAGGTCTAGTGTGCAACTAGATTCATACACTTCTCGTCTGTCAGGCCGGCCGTTATCAACCGGATGGAGAGAAAGGCGCTCTCTTCTCGTTCTGCCAGGTTTTTCAGAACGAGAGGGAATTCAGCAAACTTCCCTATCATCCAACCATCTCCAAGGTTTGTCCTGATAAGATATGTGTCTCCAGAAGTTAATTAATTCATGTATTGTGTTTGCCATCAGTTGCTGCAGCTGATTCTGAGAGAACGAGTGTGTGAGAGTTGGTTGGTGGAAGAGAATGAAGTAGAGGGAAGAGATGGAGGAGAGGGAGAGAGGAGAGAGGAGAGAGAAGGAAGACGGGATGAGGATCATGTGAGATGTGTCCTAATGACCCTTCGTCTTCTGATACGAGACGATATCTACCAGGTGAGAGAGACACGGAGTCTCCTGGCAGGCTTGACGTCTGATTTTTGCAATGTCGTCTCCAATCACAGGGTTTACTCAGAAAAGAAACAGTTTCACTGGCAGCTCTTGGAAAGGTGCATGGGATGTATAACAACCATTGATACAGAAGGGTTTGAAGGAGATGATTTAATCCACTCTCCCTTACACATAGATAAAAGAGTAGATTACAATCTTGATTAATACGATCATGTTGGGCGCCCATAAAACCTCTTCCTTTTTTCACCGACTGTAGTGTTTTGCTGACTATGCTGAGGCCTACCTCACTGGCTCTCATCAGAAAATAAACTCTCTCAAGGAAATGAGCAGTAAGTTCTATTGTAGCATTATCCCACATCTACACACTCACTCTCTTTGACTGTATCGCTGTATCGCTCTGCAGCTCAAGCATAGAGCTGCATGATTAGCCACATAGTGTAATCAGGCAAAACTCATGATTAATTTTGACTATCGTTCTTCCTCAGACATATTCCAGAAGGTGTCAAGCAGTGGTGGTGAGTGTGTAGAGGTGTGTCCGGGGGTCCTGCCGTGGCTAGTGAGACTGTCAGGGACCAGGGACCTCACTCTCACTCAGTGCTGCCTCTGTGCACTCATCAACATCTGTAAGAGGTCAGGAGTCATAGCTATCTCTCTCGCTCTATTATAGTGTACGATGAAAAGGTGTATGTCCTCAGCCAATGTAGTTCCACCAACACTTTCTGGTGCTGTCATAAGTTCTCTAAAATCTTTCCACACATGCAGGGTAACCTTTGCACTTTCTATAGTCTTATGCCATTTTCTCTAGCACACCAGATTTTGTAAATTTTCTATATCTTTCCTCACCTATTCTCTGTATCTGCAGAGTGGCAGGGGTAGACTTGGTGGCTGCCCTCTCTCCTCTCCCTCCTCTCCTCCACCTCCT